TCTCTCTTATTGATTTGCACGAGCTCGCCCCCCACTCCGGACCCCTCGCTACGTCGTTGTATTCCGCCAGGATAATGTGTCTGTCGTTTATTTTCACTCTCCCGTCGTAGGCTGCTCTCGTCACACACAGACTGTCGGCCAAACACAACAAAACAAAACAAAATAGCACATGCACCTCATACACCTGACCGAACATTGCCGAAGGCCATGCTGCAGTTTACGGCACGTTTGAATAAAAAAAAGTAAAACAAAGCCCTCGACAGTTTGACTTGCTGTACGGTCCGATAGCTCGAGCTTTTTGTTCACACACACTCTTTTCTCATACACCAACATTTTACAAAAATAAAAAGTCGGCGCACTATAAAGTTGAGGTGTGGTCCGTGGTGCGCACGGTCGGTTTGAACGAGCTGCCCGTTTGTACAATGTTTGGCTGTCCCTTTTTTTTGCATCATGTTGGCTATTGTCCTTTGTTCCAGGACGGCTTCGTCCTGGTGGGGTCAGTGGCGGGGCAGCGCTACTGGTCGTCCATGCTGAACCTACCCTGCACCATCACCTGCGGCGTGTGGACGCCTGACGACCAGCAGGTGAGGCATGGCAACAACAGCAGTAGCAGCAGAAGCAGCAGCAGCAGCAGCAGCAGCAGAAGCAGCAGCAGCAGCAGCAGCAGCAGCAGCAGCAGCAGCAGCAGCAGCAGCAGCAGCAGCAGCAGCAGCAGCAGCAGGGGATCAGACCGGTCCTGACCGCCATGGCGATGCGAAGGGCGCGGCGGGGAGGAGCCCTGCCCTCCGCTGTCCGCACATCCCCGTGTCCGCGCGACCAAGCTGCTGCTGTAGTTCTATTTTCGGAGGGCTTTCGGGGCCTGCAGAGCGCGGTATGGTCTCCACGGGTCGAAGCAGTCGAAGGGGCGCTGCCTCTTTATTCGATGGAAATCCCTACCTCACTGCCTTAGAGGACGAAGCCACAAAAGGAAAACTCATCCCCCCCCCCCTCTTTATTCGACGGCATTGCGTGGCCCGACAGCCGCCGCGGGTGTGCCGCAGGGTTGCAAAGCCAAATATGTCACTCATTCGATTGCAATCGCGGAGTCGCGCGGTCAGGGTCCCCGCTAGAGATTGCGACCCGCACATTTCGCGAGTATGTTTCGACGGTTGCCGTCGGCTTTGCAGGGGATTACGCCTCGGCAAAGGAAAAAGTTCCTAGAATTTCAAGCCCCGGATGGTCGCGACCCGCTGACATAGAGGGTACGTCAAGTTCTATGGGTGCGCTAAGGGGCGGTGGAGGTCCACAGGTTCACGGGTACCGGCCAATAAAGACCCCCTCCCTCTCTCTCTCTTTTCGTCCCTGTGCACTCTGCGCGGGGCGGGCCCTGGACCTCCGGGTCCCAGAATATCTCCACCGAAGTTGGGGAGAGGGGGGGGCAGGGGGCACCAGGGGGCCACATAGGGGCGACGCGGCGACCAGCGCCCCGTGTGAGAGGGAGAAGGAGGAATCCCCAAATACGTCGATTATAATTTGCACATCACCATGAAAGTGTTGTGTACTCAGTCGTGCCCGTGTTCACCTTCACCTTGGTGTTCACCAGGTGTACTTCGGGACGAGCAGCGGCCAGCTCATCGTCATGGACGTGAACGGCGCCATGGTGAGCCAGGTGACGGTGGGCGGCGGCCGAGGGATCACGGCCATGGCGTGGTCCTGCGAGAAGTTCAAAATGGACGAGGGCGACGACGGCGACCGCTCCAGCATGATGCACTTGGGTGAGTG